CAGGGACGGCGGCCTCCCGGTGTGTCTCTCCAGAAGGGAAGCTTCGCTGCGAAGCTGTCAGGGGAGCGGCCACGGCCACACAGGGCGGACCTTCGCCCGGAGAGGCCTGTCCTGCACTAGGTGCTTGTGTCTTACTGCGATTTTAGAACGTCTGCCGGTTGCTAAAATGCCTGTTCTTCATGTCAGCGACTGAACGCCCGGTTGTGTGGTAGCGTTTTCCAGTCAGTGGTTTCTGTCTGTCCATGAAACCGGCTGTTTTACCATAGAAAGAAGTTACTTGGCGGTGCTGTGATCTTTTCGGATGTAAGTAACATCTCTCCAGATGCGGAGTTAACAGATCTCCGCCCAGACGTGGCCTCAGCTGGGGTTCGCGGGTCCCATGGGTGTAGACGCCCTCACGGTGGGACTCGCCGCGGCGGGTTGCAGGACGTGGTAACGCGGTTGCGCTGGGGCTGGAGAGTGCGCTGGAGGTTACAGCTGGCGTCGGGGCAGAGTGTCCGTGGCCCGCGGGCGACCCGTTGCATCTCCCTAGGGCGTGGCTTTCCGCGGAGAGTGTTGGGGGGCGCGGCCCACGCCCAGCGGACCCACCAGGAGCTCGGCGAGGTTCTTTGGGGTCGCGCGTCCGGTGTTGGTGCCGCGCTCCTTAAGCTCCGCCTCCTGTCACAGGGTGCCCCTGTCGCAGAGACAAGTGGGTCAGCGAGCCTCGTCACAGGCTGTGACTTCTGCTGTGTCTTTGTTACGGTACTTACGTTGGGGTTTCGTAACAGTTGGTACCCATGCTGGACTATGACCGAGAAAAGATGCGTTTATGTTTCTCTGGGCCTGTGGACTCAAGTTCTGCAGTTTTGTACTTAACCGACTGACCTGTGGGCTTCCTGTCCGCAGGGATGCACGTTACGTGCTCTAAGCCGCCGTTCCCTCTCGGAGCCGGGCCCTCCGTGGGTCAGCTGTCCTTCGGTCCAACCATGGGACACACTTGCTCAGGCCTCTGACCCTGACGTTGTGCTGGATTACCTGCCCCTCCCACTGGAGCTGCTGGTTTGCTTAATTCCTAGGTGGAGGTCATGGCCCCTGGTCCTGCTTCTTGTCCTTTGTTACATTTAAAGTAGCTTTTTTTTTTTTTTTAAGTTTTATTTATTTGAGAGAGCGAGCAAGGTCCGCTTTTGAATGCTGAGACCTTGGGGTCCTGAGTAGGAAGCTGCCTCCCCCCCCAGCCCTGCCTGGGGCGTGGCACTTTGTGCCAGTGCCCGCATCTGTGGCAACCCCAGGAGCACGTGGTACCCTCGCCGTGAAGACACCATGGTCCGCATCTGCGTTCTGGGATGAAGCTGCCGCTGTCTGCCATGGCCACTGGGGGTCCAGGCATGTGCACATGTGGAGGCAGGACGCTGCTTGCAGGCTGAATGAGCCAACCAGCCCCGATGGCCGTTCTCTTTCTTGGGCATCCCCTGGCTGTGCCAGAGCCCGGCGCTGTGCCTTTTGTCGCCGAGACCCGGGGCCCCGGTTCTCTGCCGTGTCACACGGGCGACCACACGGCAGCCCCCTAACTTGCCGGATTAGCATCCAGAGTCTGTGCGTTAGCTAATTCGGACAGATCGTGATGTCGCGGGTCTCCAAGTGAGACAGTCCATCAGGGGTCCAGGCCCAGAGCCAAAATGGATCTGCTTCTGTTAGGTCGGAATGAAAGAAACTTCAAGAAGTGAAGTGATTCTCTTCGGCCGTGCGTTGTGGCAGCACCCTTTCTCCGTACGTGCGCTGGTCAGCAGGCATTCCTCCCACAGCTGGAGTGGACAGGCTCGCTGAACCCTTCCAGGTCACAGGCGTGGATTGAGTGGTCGAGCTTCTAGAAGGAGACTCGTGGTCGCGGTGTCTGTTCTGCAGTGTCTGCTCTCGCAGGACGTGGGTGCTGCAGGGGAGGAGCGTCGTCACGTGTGAGGCATGGCCACGGCTCTGGGCAAATTGTCCCCACCCTCGGGAATGAAGGCCCCGCCGTTTGCCCTCGTACGCACACCCAAGTCCAGTCGTGAGGGTACCTGATGCTCGAAGCGAAATTCTAAATGAAAGGAGAGCTTCATGCGTGTTGTCGTTTCCAAGATGCTTTGTCATAGATTTAGCATGACTGAGTAAATGTTTAGTTTCTAGTAATCACCAGTATTCATCATCAGGAAGAAGATTTTTAAAAATAATAGGCTGAAGTGTGGGTATCATTGTCCTAGGGGTGTTGGGGGGGGAATTCTAGGTGGCTTTGTGTGTGTGTTGTGAAGAAATTGTTTTTCTGTTATGTGGTTAAACGTTAGAAATTGAAACGATATTTAGAACCAAGAAAAATGGACCCTCTCTCCCTGCAGCCCCCTGGTTTTTGGATTTAAAAGACCAGACTGACTTTTGCTGAAATAGGAAATCTGGTGTTCCCAGTGTGTTTGGATTCCTTGCCAAAATTTAAAGACTATGATTAATAGTTTATTTCTTATTATTCTAAATGTTATTTTAAAGTAGTTAAGCCAGAGAAATAATTCCATTAATCAAAATAAGGGGAAATGAAAAAATAAATGGGGGCCTAATCTATCTCCGGTTTAGCTGTGGTATTATGCAGGTAATGGAGACTCGCGGAGCCGGCCCCGTCCGGTTTCCGGTCACTGTTACAGTCTCAGCATCACACGTCGGATTTCAAAGTCCCGCTCAGGTCTTGAAGCAGCTTCCGTATTGGTAAAACCAAACAGACATCTCAAAACACGTTATCCATCTTTCTCTTAAGTCGAATGTACTATGAAAAGTTGTGAACACGACGCGTGGTTTGTCTAAAGTGACACGCGGTCCTGAGAGCCGCCCCTCCCCCGCGGTGCGGTAAGTGGAGGTCGCGGTCAGGAAGGTGCTGCGTGTGACCTCATTAGGCCTAGAGCACCACACCACGTGTGTCAGACACTGGTCGCCTCCCCCTCCCTCTGAAGGCCAACAGGTTCGCGTGTGTCCAGGGAGGGTGTTTATGTTATCACCCCCCTCCCCCACAGGAGTACACATACATCCCCGTACCTTATAAAGATAAAAGGGAGGAAAAGTAGACCTCGTCAAGTTCCGGAAGTCAGTATCCATCCCTAGAACATTGAAGTGCATTAAGGAAGATAATTATTTTCTTTGGCGTTACTGTTACTGAGAAATCCACAATTCACAGAGCAGCAGAAAACCCACAAATTTTCTAAAAACGTGTTTCTCATCGTCTGAATATTCTGTCTCATAGTGGGGAGAAAGCAACCTGTGTGCACTCAAAGTCCTAGGTGTGCATGTGTGTATTTCTGTGACTCTTTTCTTCTGAGGCTGCATTTCCCATGTGCCGATTTCTCAGATGAATTTCTTTCATTTCCTAAAAAGCCTGTAGGTCGCTGTATTGAGGAATAAAATGTTGATGACTCCCTTAAAGAATGAGATGCTGTTTGAACATACTGCTTCAGTTTCAAAGCAAAAATAGGCATTTCTGTGTCTAGATTTATGGACTAAACTTAACCTGGTGGTTAGGGTTACAGATTTTGCAGTCCTTCTGAATCATTTTTAAAACTTCCTGAGCTTTGCAGTTCAAAACTTCTGTCCTTCATGGAGGGAGGTGCATCCTCCTGTTATCTCTCTAATCTGCCCTGTGCAAGTTTGTGTATTCTGGCCCCAAGGAAGCGAGGTGCGGGCAGCGGTCGGGGTGCCATCCTGTCGCGTGTGCAGAGTGGACACCGCTCAGAATCGCCAGCGAGTTCGCTCGCTACATACGGTCACTGTGGGAGATTCCAGGCCATTCACCTAACCACGACAGTAACTCATTTTTCTCCTGGCAAACACAAAGGCCATTTTCCTTTCTTGAATGTATCTAGAAGCAGTTTGGAAAGTGCCCCGTTGATGAATCTCCGTGGCTTGAGGTCGCTGTGCAAAAATGTAAAACCTCGCTCTCCGCTCGCTGCGGGGATTGCACCGTCTAGCCGAGGACGTGGAGTTACTGTTACGCGTCGGGTAAACTCCTGCCTGTGCCACTGTGCCCGCCCCAGCCCCCACAGAACTTTTGTCCAGTATCTTCCTGGGCCTCCTTCAGTGTTGACTGATGGACGTCATGAATGTGGGGCTGGTTTTAAGTAGGAGCTTTCAGAAACTTGACGAAAGAGAAGCACTTAATGCACGGAGTCAGCCAGCCCCTCCCCGCCGGGTTTCTGGGGCTCCCGGAGGCAGAGCTGGAAGCCGGTGAGAATTGTGCGAGTGCTGTGGCGTGCGTGTGCGGGTTAATTTCAAGTGATGGGTCTCTCTCCGTCAGGACTTTAGCTGAAGGTGAGTGCAGTTAAGTAAGACTAACCTCGCCCTGTTGTTGCTGTCCTCAGATGCTAAACTCCATTGTTCAAACGGCGATGCTTCGAATGTCACTGGAGAGCCTGCTCTGCGCGCTGCAGGCTCACACGTATTCCCATTTTTATCTCGCAGTGCACTTGACTTTAGCGAACCCCTTCTGTTTTCCCGACGTGGTGATTGTTTATGGAAATCGGTGGAAGCACTCGGTTCCGATGGACCGACGTGAGAGCGGTCCTTTTTGGACTGTCTGTATGGCCCCCAAATTCAGCCTTCTTGTGGAACCATCACTCACCTGTAAATCCGCATGGTGCTACAAAATTCTCCTTTTTTTGGGAATCCTCCCCCAATTCCATCTTGCCACCTTTTAACCTCCAGGGCTGGTCTGGACACTTGTTTGCCTTCTTGTATGTGAAACAGAGAAGGCAAACCATCCTCCCTGAATCCTTGCAAATGATTGTCTAAAGCTGCCCCCGTAGACCAGGAAGGCCCATTTAAAATCTCTCCTGCTGGAGCAGAGTCCGTTCCCGCAGCAGTCAGGGGTCTCCGCCCACCTGACGGGGTTGCGACGGGGTTGCTGCCTGAAGGTCGCGTGCTCGTGGGTGTTGATACGGAAGTTAATAGGGAGACGCACTTAGACACCAAAAGGCAGAAATGAGCTTCTCTGTTGTCTGCTTTTTCTCATCTAGGGGAGAGACCGTTCTAACCCCAATCCCGTCCAGACAGTGCCTCTCAGAAAGGGAACCTAGAGACTCATTGCCGGCGTACCCTGGTCCCCGTGACAGCCGTTCCAGCCCCCCATGGACGTCCCGGCAGTGACCCCGACCCCCTGTGGAGGAGAAGCTTCAGGAGCCTCGACCGGACGGCGGCCCGACCCTGGCGCAGCCGTGCTGGAGCGCAGGCCGGAGGGAGACGCTCTTGCGCCTTGGGAAACGGTTCGGAGCACACGAAGATGGTCTCCTCCGGGATCGCGTGTACATACTCTGTGCAGCTCTGGGCTCATCGACCGCCATCCCCTATGTTCTTACCATAAACAGTGCTGTTGGCAGGTGCGCTTCAGAGCACAGGCCTCTGTGTTGCTGGAGACACGTTTGAGACACTGGAGAGAGATTCTTGTGCGCGTCGGAGAGACTGAAGAGCCGGGCGCCGGCGGGAGCTGCCGATGCTCAGAGGATGGTCGGGAAATGTCAGGACATGTGGTGGGGTGGCGGCGGCTGGCGGAGTGTTAGTGCCACAGCCCATCTGTGTCGTAGGGGGTGTTTAAAGTCGTCCCCAAGAGAGAGGAAGGAGGGAGCGCTGGGCACTGCGGAAAGCAGGCTCCGTGGCGCAGGGCCACGGCGTGGTCCTAACTGGTGGCCTTCGGAGGCCGTGGGTGTTTCCCGTTTGCTCTTTCCGTCCTTCCCGTCCTTTGTGCTCAGCGAGCCTGCAGGGGACACACACCCATGGGAGTGCATATATTTGCTTTGGAAAAGAGCTAGTTGAACACTAAGACAAGCAGGCTTCTTTGTTTATTCTCAGGACCTTTTTGTAACAGGGCTACACTCTGCGGACTGCTCCCCAAGGAAGACTGCCCGTAAATTCTCTAGCCACTGAAACGCCCTGCCCCGGTCTAGACCCGTTTCAGTGATGGCGGGAGCACGCCTGAGCAGATCCGGGGGCCCTGGTGCTCTGGAAACCTGTGCTCCCCCGCTCCCTCCCATCTGTCCCTCCCACCAGCCCAGCTAGTAGGTGTCTTTTCTTCTCGGGCCCGGGGACCTCCATGGGATGAGTCCCTTCATTCCCGGAGCGTGGAGGTCCCCTGGCCCCTGGGTGGGGACAGCTTCATATACCTCTTCCTCAGTCCTGCAAATGCAAGTTTTTGTGGTGGGGGGTTAAGGCCCGTAACAAAGGATCTTAAACCGTGCAGTGTACGCAGCTAAAATTGTATTCCACAGATATAAATATTTTCTTTTCCTGTTACCGTGGCACTATGTGCGATGGTAATATTTCTGAGAGTTTCAGATTTTTGCACATATGATTTTATGCATTATCAAAAGTTACTGCTGCCTTGAATGACAATGTTCTGTGAAATTTTTTGCAAAAGCTTTACTAGGTTTTTTTTAATTGTGACATTTTGTAAAGGCAGGAAATGGATTAAAAACGAGCATGCTAAATATATTTTTCAAAAAAGCAATAATTTTACATGTACAGAAATTATCCTAACCTTTAATACTGGTGAGAGCAACAGTTTACTTAATACAGTAATGGATCAGCGCAGTTTTTTGTAGAAAATGGGCTTCTGATACAAAGATCTGTTTAAACTCGTGCGCACGCACAGACACAAACCCTGAAGTGTGGTTTTCCTGTTCTAATGATTTGTTGAATTATTATTATATTATTATTATTGTTGATGTTGTTATTAGTTAATGTTTGGTTCTGGATTCTACTTGTTACTGAATTTAAATTACTTGAGGTTCCAGTTACTTTGCAGCACTTGGAAACAGTGGGATGTAACTGGGTGGCTCCTCTTTACGTGTGGGTGTACACATGTGTATGCGTGTGCACGCGATGTTTTCACTCACTTTTTCCTGATCCTCTTACACCAGGTTTGTACCAGAACGATCTGTTGTGTTGGTGTAATTAGGACCGTTCATGCCGATGGTATCGAGCAGCTGTGATCGACTGTTTCTGTATTTTGAGCAAAGTTGCAGAGACACATTCCTCTGTTAGAAATCAGAATGCCTTTCTGTTGACTTCTGTTTGATCATTTCGATAGTTTCCCCACAGTGATAAGTTCCGGCTTTCATTTTCTCTGCTGAAAGTGAACAGTGACCGGTCAGGGCGCACAGGGGCTCCTGACCCGGTCCTGTCTTTCTCTGTGTTCTAGCGATTAAAAGCAGTTCTGTCCCCAAAGTGACACGGAGCTGTACTGTCCGTTCTTCCTGTTTCGGAAGCACCCCCGACCCCGGAGCCCCGCCGACGGCCGGAATGGCCTGGTGGCGAGAGGGGTGCGCACCAGGTCTCGCGGGCCGAGCGCGCAGCCCGAGTCCGCTGGCGGGAGTGCGCGCCCGGCCCAGCGCAGAAGGCGGCGTCTGTGGAACGGAGCAGGGGAGGACGCCGCCCTCCAAGCCACGCCGTCCGGGGCCGGACTGTGGCTTCCTTCTCCCACTGGTCATCAGTATGGTTGGGTCTGTTCATACGTTGTTGTCTGTTGGACCATAGTATTTAATATGATTTATGTTTTCTTATTTATTTAGCCAATATGTTTTGATTTGCTTTTTTTCGAACGATAATTTCCACGTGATCTCTCCTGTACGTCGTCTTCTGACTGTTACAGACTCTTTCTACTACCTCTACCGACCTGCTGTTTCCTTGTTTCCTAACAGGATTTTTACAGTGTTGGCGTCTGATGTAACTTAGACAATAAAGGGTTTGGTTGTCTACACCGCAGCTTCTCCGTGTGTCTCCCCACCCTGCCGGCGCCCTCGCTGCTCCGGGGCGGCCGTCGGTCTGGCTGTCCTCACCCCCCTCCTTCCCGCTCACGTCTTTCCTCATTGTCCCAGTCCAGTCACACAGAATGACGATGAGCTGAGGTCACTCACTCATACTCCTTAACTCGAAGAACGCAGCGTCCGTTCTCCGCAGCGTCTGCCGCTGGCCCTTCCAGGACGCAGCCCGCCTCAGCCGCTCCGCCGCCTGCTCCGGGAGGGTCCCTCGGCCTCTCCGACGGCTCCGTCTCCCGCCGGTCCGAACGCAGCACAGACCTGCAGGGCTCTGGGATTTTGCCTTTCTAGTTGCGAAAAGTATGAAATACTCGGAGCGGTTCCTCTGATACACAGTTATTTTTGAAATCAAGAAAGACAGCGGTTTCCCGAGAAGTGCACCCGGGAAGCTGTTCGCGGTAGTCCTGACCCGCGGCCGTGGCGCCGGGTGAGGGACGTGGCTCTTGCCCTTGTGTCTGGAGCCACGTTCAGACGTTGCTGCTCTGTCTCAGGTCACATAATGTTCCGGAAACATCTGGAGCGAGGGCCCGCGCACAGCAGTTGGTAAGCGAGCCCCGCTTGTGGACGGGCGTGGCCTCGAGCGCGGCGCGGACAGGGAGCCGCTCGCTGGCTGAGAGCGCTACAGCCGGAGCGCTGGGGGCCTGCGGGACGGGTGTCGCCTGGATCCCGAAGCGACGACTCCTGTCAGTCTGTGCCCCAAAGACACTGCGCCTCCAGGATTCTCGTGCCCAGATTCCCCTTACCAGCCCCTGCTTTAAAGCCAACACGCTCACCCCCAAGCCCCGAGGGGTGTCAGTGGCGCCGAGCGAGCGCCGTGTCTGTCTCTTGTCGCTGAGTTCCGGGTGCGGAGCCTTCCGTCCACAAGTGAAAGGGAACCACGGCCAGGGCTCCCAGAGGTGGTTTCGGTGCAGGCCGGGCCCTCGCACGCCCGTGGGACGGGACCGAGGGGGGTTCATTCTTTATCCACTGCGCTAATTACACTCTGAGGCAGTAAAATGCAAAAGACCATAGAGTTTGTATTTCTTTTTTTTTTAAAATACAGTTTATAACATTATATTTTGTACTCTTTATATTAGAATTTGTAACTAGAGGATGTATTTAACTCTATTTCTGAAAAAATAATTCAATGTTTCAGTTATGTGAAAAAATATTTAGATAAAACATACTCATTCTATTGGACTTTAAATCAATAAAAAGATCTTGGAGTTGCTGAGGCTCGTGCAGACCTTCTTCGCCGGTCCCAGGAGGTGCCTAACCTTCATCTTGATCTGCGGTTTTGTTTTCGTTGGCAGAACACAAAGCCGAGTGTAGATAGAGTTCTTTCTATAAGCAGAAGGGTTTTAGCGTGACTCACAAGACAACGCATCCAAAACCATGTCAGGATGGCCAGAGTGTTTTCTTTTTGTTGTTTTTGTTTTTTTTTTTTTTTTAATTTTTTGCAGACTCCAGGGCATACACACTGTTTCTTTGTTTTGGAAGGTGACCATACAGTTCTCGTTTTCTCCCACAGCGCATCTTTTGGTTCCCGCACCAAAAGCACACACCATTCCTACTCTCACCGCCCGAGCCACGCAGCGTGCACGGGACGGACACAGAGCGAGCCCGAGTCAGATGAAATGACGGGATCAAGAACGTGGGGTTCCAAGGCACTCGGGGAACTTCAATTTAAAAAGCTGAGAAGTGTTTTGAGGTGAGAAGGTATAACTGTGTCTCCACTGGCAGTAAAGAGAGGTGGGAACTGACAGTCCGTGCTGGTACCCGGCAGAAATCCTGGCCCAGACCTCCTTGTGCCCCCTGATGTAGGGACTTCCTTCCACAGGACACGGCGTGGGAGCTCCTAACTTCATGTCCGGACAGACACCTCCCCCGGCCCTGGGCTTTCTCCAGGTGGCCACAGTCCTTTCTCCAGGAAGGTGCTTTCCTTTGTCTCCCTGCTGGTCACCAGATAGCAGACAGCCATGGGCTGGGGGCTCCTTGGCCACTGGGAGAAGATGGCGGAAGATGGCCACGGACTGTTTCCTGCGCTCTAATCTTCCACGTAGCACCTTGGAGGCAGGGACTGGGCATGGCCATGCTTCGCACACACGCGTGCACGCGCACCCCCACGGAACACGCGCGCGTGCACGCACACCCCCACCACACGGAACACACGCACGTGCACGCACACCCCCACCACACGGAACACACACGCTTGAGAAACAAATCCCAGCTGTTTGTGATGGCACCTTCTTGCCCTGCATCTGATTTCTTGCTGTTTGAAAACAACGTGCATCTCTCATCTGGGCTGTTCGTGATCCCCGTCTGAAGTTTGAAAAGGTGAGTTCTCATTCAAGAGGTTATCA